GGGATGTTACACATGGAGCTGCTGGGATGTTACACGTGGAGCTGCTGGGATGTTACACGTGGAGCTGCTGGGATGTTACACGTGGAGCTGCTGGGATGTTACACATGGAGCTGCTGGGATGTTACACGTGGAGCTGCTGGGATGTTACACATGGAGCTGCTGGGATGCAAGGAGCATCTCAGACCTGATCTGATCGTTAAAGTGGTATCGGATGGTGTGTGTGTGTGTGTGTGACTCACTCTGCGCCCGACATGCCGGGGTGCACGCCATCGGCCACACACACACTGAGCGTGCGCACATGGTCCGCCACCACGCGGTACGCCATATCGGTTCGATCCCCGTCCGCCGCGCCCGTCCTGCCGCCGTACGGAGGGACACCTGACCTCTGAGGACAAACATCGCCATGACAACCAGCAGTCAGCACACCAGTCAGTGTGTGTGTGTGTGTGTGTGTGTGTGTGTGTGTGTGTGTGTGTGTGTGTGTGTGTGTGTGTACCTGGTGTATCTCCTCCAGCAGGGGGGTGAACAGGTCAGTGTGTGTGTGTGTGTGTGTGTGTGTGTGTGTGTGTACCTGGTGTATCTCCTCCAGCAGGGGGGTGAACAGGTCAGTGTGTGTGTGTGTGTACCTGGTGTATCTCCTCCAGCAGGGGGGTGAACAGGTCAGTGTGTGTGTGTGTGTGTGTGTGTGTACCTGGTGTATCTCCTCCAGCAGGGGGGTGAACAGGTCAGTGTTGTAGGTACTGAGTGTTCCCTGAAGGACGCTGACCAGACGCTCCAAACCCATCCCTGTATCAACAGAGAGGAGGGGGAGGGGCTGCAGGGAGAGGTCCGCCTCCCTACACACACACACACACAAATTTATTCCCAAAATGCAGACTTTTTCAGAAAATCTAAAAATAGTGATCCTGATATGATCTGTTCCACACTTTAAAAGGTCCCATGACTCATGGCCATTTCTACTGATCATGATTCCATAGTTGAGGTCTACTAGAATAGATTTACATTGTTCAATGTTCCAAACTCACATTGGTTTCTCATACAGCATCTTTGTATAGTATAGAGAGGCGAAGTCACGCCCATCTACTTCCGCCCCATGGGACCTTATTTCGGAAAAATTATCTTTTAAATTGACAAACATCATATGTGTAATTCGTGGCACAATTCAAACGGGTTCAAAAGATAATCTTTCTCTCTCCATTGACTTCAATACATACCCTTTCCCGAAATAAGGTCCCATGGAGCTCAACCGGAAAGGGAGGGACTTCGCCTCTCTATGTGTATTCACTCTCTGTCCTCAACGGCTTGTTGGAGCTCCTGCCCCCCCCCCCCTCCCTGTGAGCCCACTGTGCTCTGATTGGTCGGCTTGCCCACTCTGTTCTGATGAGTCCACCACCGTTACAGAACATCAGTGATTATGTTTTACAATGGCGTTTGTTAGCAACCAGGAAATGACCCCAGTGATGACAAACAGATGAGAATGCTGCGTGGGGTCTGGGTGCCGTGTTGGGGGGACGTTGGGGGGCTCGCTGCTCCGCCCTTTGAGGCTCGAGGAGCGGACAGTGAGAGCTGGGTTACTGCTGTTGTTTCCTGGTTGCTGCGTGGGGTCTGCGAGACAGCGAGACACCGTGGCTCGCTGGCACGGCACTTGGTCTATATCCAGCAACCAGGGAAACACAGCGGGAAATCCACCTCACACTGTCCGCTCCGGGGGCCTCGCGGGGCGGACTCCTGAGCTGCTGGGAGTCCGCTCCGGGGGCCTCGCGGGGCGGACTCCTGAGCTGCTGGGAGTCCGCTCCGGGGGCCTCGCGGGGCGGGCTCCTGAGCTGCTGGGAGTCCGCTCCGGGGGCCTCGCGGGGCGGGCTCCTGAGCTGCTGGGAGTCCGCCCTGGCAGAGGGTGTGCCTATTGTTCTATAGCTGTGTGCCATTGGTCCATTTGGACTTAGTGACGTCAATAGGACCCGGAAGAACAAAATGGAAAAAGAAAGATCTCCAACGAGGTGTTCTGGGGCAGCAGAGACAGGTCTGCTCTGTGTTAGAGTTTTACTCGCTACAGGGTGCACTTTGAGGGTTTGTGACTTTGCAGACCGTTTACATGCAGAAGCTACATAACACAAGGGGACGGGTCAGAACCAGAAAAGCATGACATGGGACCTTTAACATAAACGGTGTGTGTGTGTGTGTGTGTGTGTGTGTGTGTGTGTGTGTGTGTGTGTGTGTGTGTGTGTGTGTGTGTGTGTGTGTGTGTGTGTGTGTGTGTGTGTGTGTGTGTGTGTGTGTGTGTGTGTGTGTGTGTGTGTGTGTGTGTGTGTGTGTGTGTACCTGTTGTACTGCATGAACACCAGGTTCCAGACCTCCACCACCTCAGGACAGTCAGCGTTCACCAGGTGTGCAGCGTCCCTCCCCCCCAGGTGGTCGTAGTGGATCTCAGAGCAGGGTCCACAGGGGCCGCAGGGCCCCATCTCCCAGAAGTTCTGCTTCATATCGAAGGGCAGCAGACGGGCCGGGGGCACCCTGGGGGGTTAGGAAAAAAAAAAAAAAAATTTTTACAATTATTATTAATAATAACGGGTGCATAGACATTTTTCAGGGGCGAACTGGCCATCTGTATAATTTCCCCGCAGCGAGGCTCCCCCCGTTGACAATCCACTAGCGCAGTGTTTCTCATCTTTTTCATACCAAGGACACTTAACCAATAAAAAAACACTCACAGACCCCCTGACTCCACAAAGATCCACAAACAATAGGCCTGCTCACCACTCCAACAGTTTATAACAAATTACAGCCTAATCATGACAGCTTCACTTCTCTACATCGCCTCGTTCACACATTAAATCAACAATACAAATACAACTACATATTATATAAGCCTTTAGTTCAAATAAGATTTAAAATGCTCGAAGGTTTTACACCTCTTATGAAATGTAGACTACATTTATTACGGAGTTTAGTCTGAGCTAACAGACTCACAGATCGTTGGCTACTGAGAGAAATGCAAAACACACCTCATGTAGTACGACACAAACCTCCGCTGTGGATTTTCCAAACACAGTAAACTTTGGTCGCAGGCCCAAGTTTAACTCTCTGAGCCCTTTGTTCACATGTTAGGCTCGCCTGGGCTTTTTTTGTAAAAATGCTATTAAAACATGAACCTTGGTGACCATCGGGCTGGCCTGCATGGTCTGCCATGGGGCTGGCCTGCGTGGTCTGCCATGGGGCCGGCCTGCGTGGTCTGCCATGGGGCTGGCCTGCGTGGTCTGCCATGGGGCTGGCCTGCGTGGTCTGCCATGGGGCTGGCCTGCGTGGTCTGCCATGGGGCCGGCCTGCGTGGTCTGCCATGGGGCCGGCCTGCGTGGTCTGCCATGGGGCCGGCCTGCGTGGTCTGCCATGGGGCCGGCCTGCGTGGTCTGCCATGGGGCCGGCCTGCGTGGTCTGCCATGGGGCCGGCCTGCGTGGTCTGCCATGGGGCTGGCCTGCGTGGTCTGCCATGGGGCCGGCCTGCATGGTCTGCCATCAGGCTGGCCTGCATGGTCTGCCATCGTGGTCTGCCATCGGGCTGGCCTGCGTGGTCTGCCATGGGGCCGGCCTGCGTGGTCTGCCATGGGGCCGGCCTGCGTGGTCTGCCATGGGGCCGGCCTGCGTGGTCTGCCATGGGGCCGGCCCGCGTGGTCTGCCATGGGGCCGGCCTGCGTGGTCTGCCATGGGGCCGGCCTGCGTGGTCTGCCATGGGGCCGGCCTGCGTGGTCTGCCATGGGGCTGGCCTGCATGGTCTGCCATGGGGCCGGCCTGCATGGTCTGCCATGGGGCCGGCCTGCGTGGTCTGCCATGGGGCCGGCCTGCGTGGTCTGCCATGGGGCTGGCCTGCATGGTCTGCCCCAACTACAGCCTCTGATCATCAACAGACTTCATGCAATGCTTCATTGGATGCACATATTATAATCTCTATCTCCTAACATCTAAATCTACTTCATGGAGACATGTTCATAAAATACATCCATTGTTTGTTCTATATGCTTCTTGAAATCCTAAAAAACACATCGTTTTTCTAGAACAGATTACAAATCGCCTGAAAATGTTACAAACAAGTGGCAACATGTGTGACGAAGGTGTGGCGCTGGGCTCTATCGTGCAACCCAAAGTGAAACTTAAGCTCGCTCCATTGCGGAGATATTCCAGAGAGAGGGCGGAACATTTAAAGGGGACCTATCATGCAAAATGCACTTGTGTACGTCTTTTCTACATGAATATGTGTCCCCGGTGTTCCAGGGAACTCACCAAGTGTCAGAAAACACAACCCTCTCTATTTTCCTCCATACCCAAATCTCTAAAAAAGGGGCTGCAACGGATCTGATAAAAACTGATCCAGATTTGAACACTGTCCTGACGTCAGGACGGTGGCGCTACGGCTAATGGGCCAACTCCACCTATCAGGGGAATGTGGGGTTGGGCCACGGCCATTGCCGCTCGAAAGCGCTGGAGACGCTGTAGTACATATGCCAGGCCTGTAAGTGGCGCTGTAGTCTGCCACAAAAGCAGCGAAGAAGTCCATTAAAGTTTAAATCTTCCGGACAAAAATAGAAAAGTGCCGGTCAAAGGTCTTCTTTGTTATTGAGCTTTAAAACAAATGAATAACGACTCTATATAATAAAACACGGAGGACGGAGATCTCTTTTCCTCCCCCTCTTCTGACAGCCCAGCAGCTGATCAGAGCACGTCTCCCCTCTCCTGCAGGGGGGCGTGGTCAGCAGAATCAGACCCGTAGACAGCAAACAGCACATAGAGCGAAATGAGGCATGGCTAAAATGCATGATCTGTTTGGTATTTTGAAAACAGAAACGTATAAATATACCTTATATAGGTATGGCCCTACAATATATCATTTACATATAGCATGATAGGTCCACTTTAAATAAATTCACTAGCACCCCCCCCCCGGGAAGATTGTTGTTACAATGTTGGAGTTAAATCTATCTGGTGCACTTAGAGGGGAAAAGAGAATAGATCTATGGAGACACCCAAGTGAAGACTAGTTTTAGCTCTCAACACGTTTTAAAAGTTTATCTTACCTTATTTCACCCACCACTTTGTATTTGTATTCATGCATATTTTACTAATCACTCGCCCCTCAAATGGAAATATGTGTTTACTCAAATGGTGACCAAACCGTAGAGACCCACTGAGATAACTTAAGTTAACTGTCTAAACCCTCAGAGCGTCCTTTACCTCACTGAGCTGTAGTGTGTGTGTGTGTGTGTGTGTGTGTGTGTGTGTGTGTGTGTGTGTGTGTGTGTGTGTGTGTGTGTGTGTGTGTGTGTGTGTGTGTGTTACCCGATCTCCAGCCAGACGTTCCTCGTCTCCTCGTCAGCAGGAAGTCCTGACTCAGCGTTTCCTCCAAAGTATGAAACATACAGTCGATCAGCTGATATCCCATAATACTCAGTGAGGAGTGTCCAGGGCCATTCTGCACGCCTCCTCCTGGAGAGAGAGACAGGCAGACAGACAGGTTCATCAGAGAGAGACAGGTTCATCAGAGAGAGACAGGTTCATCAGAGAGAGACAGGTTCATCAGAGAGAGACAGGTTCATCAGAGAGAGACAGGTTCATCAGAGAGAGACAGGTTCATCAGAGACAGACAGGTTCATCAGAGAGAGACAGGTTCATCAGAGACAGGAACAGGTTCATTCAGAGAGAGACAGGTTCATCAGAGAGAGACAGGTTCATCAGAGAGAGACAGGTTCATCAGAGAGAGACAGGTTCATCAGAGACAGACAGGTTCATCAGAGAGAGACAGGTTCATCAGAGACAGACAGGTTCATCAGAGAGAGACAGGTTCATCAGAGAGAGACAGGTTCATCAGAGACAGACAGGTTCATCAGAGAGAGACAGGTTCATCAGAGAGAGACAGGTTCATCAGAGAGAGACAGGCAGACAGACAGGTTCATCAGAGAGAGACAGGTTCATCAGAGAGAGACAGGTTCATCAGAGAGAGACAGGTTCATCAGAGAGAGACAGGTTCATCAGAGAGAGACAGGCAGACAGACAGGTTCATCAGAGAGAGACAGGTTCATCAGAGACAGACAGGTTCATCAGAGAGAGACAGGTTCATCAGAGAGAGACAGGTTCATCAGAGAGAGACAGGTTCATCAGAGAGAGACAGGTTCATCAGAGAGAGACAGGCAGACAGACAGGTTCATCAGAGAGAGACAGGTTCATCAGAGACAGACAGGTTCATCAGAGACAGACAGGTTCATCAGAGACAGACAGGTTCATCAGAGAGAGACAGGCAGACAGACAGGTTCATCAGAGAGAGACAGGTTCATCAGAGAGAGACAGGTTCATCAGAGAGAGACAGGTTCATCAGAGAGAGACAGGCAGACAGACAGGTTCATCAGAGAGAGACAGGTTCATCAGAGAGAGACAGGTTCATCAGAGAGAGACAGGCAGACAGACAGGTTCATCAGAGAGAGACAGGTTCATCAGAGACAGACAGGTTCATCAGAGAGAGACAGGTTCATCAGAGACAGACAGGTTCATCAGAGAGAGACAGGTTCATCAGAGAGAGACAGGTTCATCAGAGAGAGACAGGTTCATCAGAGAGAGACAGGTTCATCACGATTAAAACGTTTACCTGTAACACTCTCCAAACTACTGTAGGAGCGGAATCATTCGAAAAATATAATGCTAGGATAATGCTATACAATGCTAACGGAGGCGAGACGTACGTTATTCACGCGCATATCTAAGATAGCGCTTTCTAAGCTACGCCGCCGCCACGTTAGCGCGTACTTTGAGCGCACCTATGATACGTCGCCGTGACGTCTGACATCGTCGTGACGTCGCCTGTATTCTACATCAACCCATTCAAAATTGATGGAGGCGTTGGCGCACGTTGACACGTCAGTTCTCCGCTCTGTCAGCTTAGTTGTCTGTTCTTTGGCACAAATCACACCTCATAGAAGTAGTCTCCAAAGCTCCGTGCGTCTGGCGTGCGTGCGTGCGTGTGTGCGTGTGTGCGTGTGTGTGTGTACCTTGAAGTAGTCTCCAAAGCTCCGTGCGTGTGTGTGTGCGTGCGTGCGTGTGTGCGTGTGTGCGTGCGTGTGTGCGTGCGTGTGTGCGTGCGTGCGTGTGTGCGTGTGTGCGTGCGTGTGTGCGTACCTTGAAGTAGTCTCCAAAGCTCCGTGCGCGTGTGCGTGTGCGTGTGCGTGCGTGTGTGTGTGTGTGTGCGTGCGTGCGTGCGTACCTTGAAGTAGTCTCCAAAGCTCCGTGTGTGTGTGTGTGTGTGTGTGTGCGTGCGTGTGTGCGTGTGTGTGTACCTTGAAGTAGTCTCCAAAGCTCCAGCTCCCCATCATCTCGAAGAAGCTCAGGTGAGTGAGGTCTCTCCCGACGTCCTGCAGGTCGTTGTGTTTCCCCCCCGCTCGCACACACTTCTGAGCGTTAGCCGCGCGCCGCAGAGAAGCTAACATGCTGCGGGGGGGGGGCCGTGCCCAGGAGGCGGGGCTTAAACTGGGGGGGGGGGCAGAGGGTCATTAATAAACAGTTGCAAGTACTCAGATCTTGTTCTTGACTAAAAGTAGAAGTATTCAGATCATGTACTTTAGAAGAAGAAGATTAAACTTATTGTCATTACGTAGTACAGGTGCTATGCAACGAAACGGTTTCTCTGCATTTGACCCATCCTAGTGTCAGGAGCAGTGGGCTGCCATTATGTACGGAGCCCGAGGAGCAGTGGGCTGCCATTATGTACGGCGCCCGAGGAGCAGTGGGCTGCCATTATGTACGGCGCCCGAGGAGCAGTGGGCTGCCATTATGTACGGCGCCCGAGGAGCAGTGGGCTGCCATTATGTACGGCGCCCGGGGAGCAGTGGGCTGCCATTATGTACGGCGCCCGGGGAGCAGTGGGCTGCCATTATGTACGGCGCCCGAGGAGCAGTGGGCTGCCATTATGTACGGCGCCCGGGGAGCAGTGGGCTGCCATTATGTACGGCGCCCGGGGAGCAGTGGGCTGCCATTATGTACGGCGCCCGGGGAGCAGTGGGCTGCCATTATGTACGGCGCCCGGGGAGCAGTGGGCTGCCATTATGTACGGCGCCCGAGGAGCAGTGGGCTGCCATTATGTACGGCGCCCGGGGAGCAGTGGGCTGCCATTATGTACGGCGCCCGGGGAGCAGTGGGCTGCCATTATGTACGGCGCCCGGGGAGCAGTGGGCTGCCATTATGTACGGCGCCCGAGGAGCAGTGTAGGGAACGGTGCCTTGCTCAGGGACACCTCGGTAGCACTTGGTCTTTCCGGGACTTGAACTGGTGACCTTCCAGTTGCCAAGCCAAGTCCCTATGGACTTCGCCACCACCTTTAGTAAAAGTAGAAGTACTCAGATCTTGTACTTGAGTAAAAGTAGAAGTACACAGTAACTGTAGTATAAGTACTGCTCTCACCTGGTTCACCCCCGTTAACATGGCTCTGAACTGTAGTATAAGTACACAGTAACTGCAGTATAAGTACATGCTGTCTCTGAACTGTAGTATAAGTACACAGTACTGCAGTATAAGTACATGCTGTCTCTGAACTGTAGTATAAGTACACAGTACTGCAGTATAAGTACATGCTGTCTCTGAACTGTAGTATAAGTACACAGTACTGTAGTATAAGTACACAGTAACTGCAGTATAAGTACATGCTGTCTCTGAACTGTAGTATAAGTACACAGTACTGCAGTATAAGTACACAGTACTGCAGTATAAGTACATGCTGTCTCTGAACTGTAGTATAAGTACACAGTACTGCAGTATAAGTACATACTGTCTCTGAACTGTAGTATAAGTACACAGTACTGCAGTATAAGTACATGCTGGCTCTGAACTGTAGTATAAGTACACATTACTGCATTATAAGTACATGCTGGCTCTGAACTGTAGTATAAGTACACAGTAACTGCAGTATAAGTACATGCTGTCTCTGAACTGTAGTATAAGTACACAGTACTGCAGTATAAGTACACAGTACTGCAGTATAAGTACACAGTACTGCAGTATAAGTACATGCTGTCTCTGAACTGTAGTATAAGTACACAGTAACTGCAGTATAAGTACATGCTGTCTCTGAACTGTAGTATAAGTACACAGTACTGCAGTATAAGTACATGCTGTCTCTGAACTGTAGTATAAGTACACAGTACTGTAGTATAAGTACACAGTACTGCAGTATAAGTACATGCTGGCTCTGAACTGTAATATAAGTACACAGTAACTGCAGTATAAGTACATGCTGTCTCTGAACTGTAGTATAAGTACACAGTAATGCAGTATAAGTACCCAGTACTGCAGTATAAGTACATGCTGTCTCTGAACTGTAGTATAAGTACACAGTAACTGCAGTATAAGTACATGCTGTCTCTGAACTGTAGTATAAGTACACAGTACTGCAGTATAAGTGCATGCTGTCTCTGAACTGTAGTATAAGTACCCAGTACTGCAGTATAAGTACATGCTGTCTCTGAACTGTAGTATAAGTACACAGTAACTGAAGTATAAGTACATGCTGTCTCTGAACTGTAGTATAAGTACACAGTACTGCAGTATAATTGCATGCTGTCTCTGAACTGTAGTATAAGTACCCAGTACTGCAGTATAAGTATATGCTGTCTCTGAACTGTAGTATAAGTACACAGTAACTGCAGTATAAGTACATGCTGTCTCTGAACTGTAGTATAAGTACCCAGTACTGCAGTATAAGTACATGCTGTCTCTGAACTGTAGTATAAGTACACAGTACTGCAGTATAAGTACATGCTGTCTCTGAACTGTAGTATAAGTACACAGTACTGCAGTATAAGTACATGCTGTCTCTGAACTGTAGTATAAGTACACAGTACTGCAGTATAAGTACATGCTGTCTCTGAACTGTAGTATAAGTACACAGTACTGCAGTATAAGTGCATGCTGTCTCTGAACTGTAGTATAAGTACACAGTACTGCAGTATAAGTACATGCTGTCTCTGAACTGTAGTATAAGTACACAGTACTGCAGTATAAGTGCATGCTGTCTCTGAACTGTAGTATAAGTACACAGTAACTGCAGTATAAGTGCATGCTGTCTCTGAACTGTAGTATAAGTACACAGTACTGCAGTATAAGTGCATGCTGTCTCTGAACTGTAGTATAAGTACACAGTACTGCAGTATAAGTGCATGCTGTCTCTGAACTGTAGTATAAGTACACAGTACTGCAGTATAAGTGCATGCTGTCTCTGTAACCACAAAGTGATATTTAAATGAAAACACTAGGGAAATGTTTACTCAGAATGTTTCTTCCACACTCTCCCCTGCTACCATCTCAGTAAATGAGCTAGTAGATCATTTTAATTCAAAAATTAAAGATGTTATAGATGCCATCGCTCCAACTAAGGTAAAGGAAGTGACTGGGAAGAAAATATCTCCATGGAGAAAGGCCATGACCGTGAGAACAGAAAAAAGAGAGTGTCGAAAAGCTGAACGCAGGTGGAGAAAAACAAATCTCCAGGTTCACTTTGAAATCTATAAAGAGAGACTTGGCCTTTATAATTTGGAATTGAAAAACGCACGACAGTCTTTCTTCTCTGACATCATTACCAAAAACAAAAACAACGCACGTGCCTTGTTTGCTACCGTCGACAGACTAACTAACCCCCCAGTGTCAGTAGCCTCTGAACTTCTATCCACCAGGGCGTGCAATGACTCTGTGTCCACCTAATATCAATTCAAACAGCATGACACAGTTCCATCAGATTAATGATAAATACTTAGAGGACATTATTCAACTTCTGAAATCCTCCTCCTGCTGCCTTGATATTATTCCAACAGGATTTTTCAAAGATGTTTTTCCTTGCATGGCCTCAGATCTACTTCATATAGTAAACACATCTCTTCACTCAGGTATTTTTCCAGAGGCCCTGAAAACTGCAGTCATTAAACCGCTCTTAAAAAAGAATAATCTAGATGCTTCAGTAATGAACAATTACAGGCCCATATCAAACCTGCCATTTCTAGGTAAAATCATTGAAACAGTAGTTTTTCAACAGTTGAGTAACTTCTTGCATTTAAAGTAGGGATGACAGCGATTATTCGATTATTCGAATATTCGTTACAGTCTCCATAATCGAAGATTATTTTTAAAATTCGATTTTGTGTGTGTCGAATAATCGATTAATATTCGCCAGGGCTGTCCGATTTTCGATTTTGATCATGGTCAGTTTCTGGCATCCCTAATTTAAAGGGGACCTATCATGCAAAATGCACTTGTGTACGTCTTTTCTACATGAATATGTGTCCCCGGTGTTCCAGGGAACTCACCAAGTGTCAGAAAACACAACCCTCTCTATTTTCCTCCATACCCAAATCTCTAAAAAAGGGGCTGCAACGGATCTGATAAAAACTGATCCAGATTTGAACACTGTCCTGACGTCAGGACGGTGGCGCTACGGCTATTGGGCCAACTCTCCACCTATCAGGAGGAGACAGCCACGGCCATTGCCTTTCGAAAGCGCTGGAGACGCTGTAGTACATATGCCAGGCCTCTAGGTGGTGCTGTTCTCACTGAATCAGCCCTTGCTAAAACAGAGCTAAAAAATGTCAAATTGAGCAAAATGAGGCATGGCTAAAATGCATGATCTGTTTGGTACTTTGAAAAAAAAAAAGTATAAATATGCCTTATATAGGTATGGTCCTACACTATATTATTCAAATATAGCATGATAGGTCCACTTGAAATAACTGGATGTGTTCCAGTCAGGCTTTCGAACAAACCACAGCACTGAGACTGCTCTTGTTAAGGTCTTCAATGACATCCACTTAAACACAGACAGTGGCAGAACTTCAGTTCGCGCGCTCACACCGGAGTACTTTTCCCACAATAGTTCATCAGAACTACGATATATTTGCGTTCACACCAAAAAGCCCCAGGAACTAAAGTAGTTCAAATTAGTTCATCTGACCCTCTTTTCAGTCCCTGCTCGAGAGCAGGGACTGAAAAGAGGGAGAAAGTAGTTCGTACGTCTGATTGGCTGTGCGGAATGCAAACCACGCCCGTTTGACTCTGAATTTGTTTTTTTAAGCGGCCATTGTATTTGCTCGCTTCGGGCAGCGCACTCGAAGAGATTACTTTTGTGAAAGCAGTTATTATAGCAACACTAAATAAATCATGGGAGCGGTGGAGTGATGAGGATGTGTCTGCGCTTCTGGCGATTTACTCGGAGGACGCATTCAGAAGCTTCTATTGAAGGCAATGTCCGTGGTTCAGTAAAGTTAGCAGACCTGGGAACCGTCCACAGCGCAGTCATGCCTGGAAGGTAAAATAAACTACATGCAATGCATTGTTTTAATCTGCACAATACTGGTCTCAGATGTACTTTTATTTGCTCGGTAGATCGAGTTAGCAATGCCAGGTTGAATTGGGTAACACTGTTAGCAGGCCGGAACCGAGCTGGCTAACAACATCTAGCTAGCTAGCTATTCTCGGCTGCTATAAAAACG